ATTTGAACTTAACTCAACTCAAATAAATTCAAGTCAAAATTGAGTCGAGTTAAACTCGAGTCGAGTCAAATTGAGTCAAGTTTAAAATTTATATAACTCGAATCAAGTCGAGTTGAAAGATTTTATAAAATAAATTTGACTCGACTCGACTCGAAAAAAACGAGTCGAATAGAGTTGATCTTTAAACTCGACTCGACTCAACTCATTCAGAACTCTAACTATCATTGAAATTATCAGAAAGGTTGTTAAGTATTTCCTAATAAGCTTAACTTTTGTAAGATTTAGCGTGTTCACGGAGAGCAACTTGACGTAAAAAGATTTTATTACAATGTTAATATGAACAAGTAAACATCGTTTAAATGATATAGAAAAAAAAATCAAATGTTGTTATTAGAATAATAAAGAAGAACATATAATTATTAAGGTGATGCAAAAGGTAAATTTAAATATAATATATTATGTTTACGATAATGCATTATTATACTAACTTATAATTTATTTATATAGATTAATAATATGATTAACTAAACTATCATTGATAAATATTCTTTTATCAATATAGAATAATTGTTATAATTATGTTTCATGAAACAATAGAAACTCATTTAATTTCTTTTTATATATTAAAATATACTGATTTATTTGATGATTATTATTATAAATATTGTTAGCTTTATCATTTAAATTACTTAACATTATCTCTCTTATAGCATCGTCAAATTCAAGACATGAAAAGAAAAAAATAATAATACTACTGGTACATTCAGTAGTTCAGCTACATCCTTAAAGATATACTTAATAGCATAGCGAAAGACAATATCTCAGCGTCTTTTCCAATTCAAAAAAATCACCATAAAAACTCACCTATGGTAAATTCTTTATAATTTATATTGTGATATTTTAACTAATATAATATTTTTTATCATATTAAAATTTAAATAAAAGAAAAACAACGAAATATAAACTAAAAAGATTTCAACAATTAAGAAGAAGCAAGAAGATAGTGTTATAATGTTCATATTACAAGCTACATTATCTAAAGATCAGGACTTGAATGTTGAATATTATAATATTCTTCCAAATTTACCATTTCCGTTTATACAGATACCCATTGGTGAAATTAATGAACTTGATGATTTAGCAGTTAATATTAAAAAAGATGTATGTGTATTTTTGTGAATTTTGTGATTATCGTAACATTTAATAATAAAGTATTAATTGGTAGTGAAAGAAAACCTTTAAAAAGAAGTATAGAAAAGAGAACTAAGATACGATGTATAATGAACAATCATTGGTTTATGATCTAATTGATCTTGACATAGCTATTCACATCAGTCTAGCTCAATTATCTACGAAAATTGCTGAAAAAACTCTGAAGCATCATGCCAATTATCTAATAAGTCTTAACAGCAATCTGCAAAGTCAAAGAAAAAAATACCAGAAAAAAGCGTATCTAAAGTCTTAAAAGCTTCAATATCATCTTCAACTGGTAAATCTGATGCAATGATCACAGATTTTCCATCAATATCACCCAAATATACAGGTATGATAATGATGTATTATAAGCTTCTTTTTATAACATTTTCTGATCTATCTGAATAGTAATTTACAATAAAGGTATCAAACGTAAGAAACTGGAAGCTTTTGATGATTTACAAACAAAACGTGAGTTTTTTTTTTAAAATCTATATCACTTTTATAATTATAATTTATATAATATCATATTGTAATATTCATTCATATATATAATGCGTCTAGATATTAAAATCAATTCAAATGCTCAATCCATTCTCGAGAAAATAGTTGAAAAGCAGCTAAAGTAATGCATAATGATTAATATTCTATAAAAAAGTAATGATGAATTAAAACATGAGATCTTTGAAAATCACAAGCTTTTACAAAATATTCTTACTATTTTAACATTAGGATCACTAACCATGATTAATGAATTAACGTAATAAGAAGAAAAACCAAAATAGCGCTTAAAGAGAAAAGATACAAAACATATGTAATAGATATTAGTATTAAAATTTTTGTTAAAATAATATTTAATAATTAATTTTTTTATTTTAGGCTCCAATAACAAAAACATGTCATCAACTATTCCAAGTAAACAAAAACCCATCAGATTCTGATATTGAACAAGCTTTTAAATCACAAGTTCAAATAGATTATTCTTAAAAGATGCAGAAGCTTATTATTTCAAATGAATAGGTCAATTTATGAAGTGCTAATCATTCTATTGTATATATTTTATTATAATTTATGAATATTATTATCACACTAATACAAATTTATAATTTTTTATATACATTTTATATATAGACATTAGAATACTTTTGCAATCACAGGAGTTCTTATGTTTGAAAAATAAAAGATACTATTTATATCTTCTTAAACTTATTTTCTTACAAATTAGATCAATTTACTGATCCTGAGAAAGTTAGATATTGGAAAAATTCGGAAAAAGTTAAAAAAGTAAGACATGATCTCTGGAATAAAATGGATAATAATGATCTAAATTTACTATTTGTCATTGAGACTATTTTACAAAAAGCATTTACTAAAGAAGAATTGCAAAATCAAGACAACATCAAATTTGGTATCATAGTATCACTGGTATTTTTAGATCTGACTTATAATCAGGTTGAGATTTTGTTCTCAAAATACAAGAACGCATGAACTAATGGAATTCTAATTTAATTATACAAAGATGGGTAAGTAATTGCTAGTTGATTCAGGTAGTTTGACTATTAACAATTTTACTTATATTTAAATTTTAGTTTAAATGTAAAGAATCATTAGAAAATGATAGAATAGAAGAACTTTTAAAAGATGATAGAATAGAAAAACTGTTAGAATATGACATAATAGATCATAACAGTAACGAATTATTTATATCCTCTGATAATGAGTTTGAGAATTCTAATGGTTAAGAGAGTGATTCATAAAATGCTGAGATTGGTAATAGTAGATATTGATTAAAAATTAAGATTTCATTTAATAATAAAAATGTTTTTTACATATTATAATTTATTATAATAAAAATTGTAAGTGTTGATCTGTTCTATTGATCACGTAATATATGCAAGTATTGGTGTGATAATTACGTTAACATATTTTATTGATCGCATAATATATGCAAGTATTTATGTGATAATAATCACGTTGATCAGTGTAGCTTTCGCAGAACTATGTATTTTGATGTTTACATTAAATAATGCAATGAATTATGTCTGTTTAATATTCTGATAAAGCTACTGTAAAATCGTCTTTTATGTTATTTGAAATTTTTATAATTGTTGTAATTCACATCTTTCTAACCATATTTTGTAAACTGAGAGTAATATGTTATTAAATAAGAATGATATAAGACCAAGGGTGAGTTGTTTGTTATTTATGATATTATTAATTAATGAGGTAAAAGATGAAGGAATTATCTTTTTTAATAAGTCTATAAAACATAAATTATTAAGCTGCAATCTCATATTAGAGGTTGATTTACATACAAAATATATATATCATTGTTAGGTCTATTGAGTTCTTTTAGGTGAGACATAAATGATCATTTGTATTCTTGAATGATATCAAAAAGGGATTTAGTATTATTAGAATAATTCCAAATGTGATCAAAATTTTCAGTTGACAAGAAGTAACAAAAGCAGATGTTCGAGATATATGTTTGAGGGTATCAAATATTCATTATAACTAAAGTAGAAAGTAATTGTAAAAGCACTTTTAGTTTAAATTGTTTTCTTTTACAGGTATCAAATAATGTAATACTAGCATTTTCTGAGTTATTGAGAACATAAAATAGGATTTGCCAATCAATGTGAAAGTTGCTATATTTAGCAAGATGTAGAAGAGTCAGGAAAGCATCTGTCCAAAAGGATTGTTGTAAGTGTTTAATGAATAGGCGAGGTAAAGTAATAATAGGTATGTTGTTGTGATATAAAATATATTTTGGTCCTAAATGATTCATATTGATATATAAAGAAGCACTAGTAACTTGTTTTGCTAAGAAATCAACTTAATTGTTGAATTGGTCATTTTTATGAGTTTTGACTTTAGTGAGTGTAAGTTTAATATTATACGTAATTATGAGATGTAATATAGTTATTTAAATATAAAAGTACGAAATTTTGAATGCAGAATTAAGAGAAGATACCTCATAAAGTGTTGTAATTTTATTGTATGATGCAATAGTAGCTTGTGAATTAGTGCAAATTTTGATGATAGCATTGGGTGGTGACATATATACTGCAACAAGTATAGCAACTATTTCTGCTAATGTGGATGAGGGTGAGTATAAAACAAATGTGACATAAAGAAGAGTGATGGCCAATTCTGATCAGTCTATAATTATGCAATTTCCATCTAGCAGTTAGAATATCCTAAGAAAATAAGAGAACCATTTGTATAAAATTGGAGGAAATTAGATTTAGTAAATTGTACTTTAAGTTGTTCTAATTTATTAATTGAATTATTTAAAGAATAAATCAGGGGCTAGAACCTTTGTACCATCTTCTAAAGTGTTAATAGTATTGAGTAAGTTGAGTTTAGGAATTGGAACTTTATAGCTGAGGATAAGTTTCGTCATAAACCATGTTTTGAATGCTGATTACAGCTTGAAAGACAACATTGAGTTTTTTGACGATAACTTTATGATGGATATGTAGTTCCTCATTTTCTTTATGTAATAGTGCAATGTGTTTTTCATGTTCAGTCACTTTGGAGTCTGAGGTGTTTACTTCAGGTTCATATATAGTATCAGTATTCATAATACCTTCTGCTTTATTAGCTTTATTGAGTTCTGTGGTTTTTTTAGGATAAGGGTAAAAATATTAAGGTATTTTTCAACTTCATCGAAATGATATATTGAGAATGCAAGGTCATTATGAAGTGTGGCTAATGTTGCAGTAATGGCATCTAACTTGTTTAAAATTCTCTATGTGTTAGTTAACTTATGCGAAGGTATTTTGGTTGATCTGTATAGAGCATCTTTCTCTTTCATCTGTTCAGACCATAATTTACGAGCATAGATTGACTTATCAAAGGATGATTGTTTAGGTTTTGTATTATTGATGGAAGGAGTTGAATCATAAGTAACTGTAGGTTTAGTACCTTTAGTCTTATTTGTGAAGGATTTTTAGATTATTAGGATTGAACATTGTATTTTAATCATACACAAAGATAACTTTAGAATATGATGTAGATGTTAAGTAGTTTTTGAATTGTGCTGGTTTATTTGAGTTTATCTATCTTTTAGATTGGTCTTCTTTTCTTGAAATTACGTGAATTATGTCTAAAATAGAATAATGAGTGCACAAATTAGTGTCTAACGCAGTCCATAAATTTTCAATTATCAAAATTAATTAGATTTCTGTTTTTTGCAACTTTTATATTCTTTTTACTGTGGAAGTGCATAAAAGTATATTGAAGGTTTTTGTAATTCGATCTAGCTTTAGGAATCACCCAGATGGCTACATTCATGACCTTTTCTATTGGTTCTAATTCTCAGCCTGTTGTGTCTTTTGGAAGATTAGTCTGATTTTGTCAATATGTAGAGAACACGTATGTACTCTAACTATATCTTTTAAAATGAAGATATCAGCGTATTTATCAAAAAATGATAGATCTGCCTCAGGTGCGTATGAGATAGTTGCTTATTGCCAAAGGTTTTTTTGTCATTATAGAGCATTTGATAATCATACCAAATCGGGCAAATGTTAATCTGATGATCTGTTCTGAAGTGGAAATGAGAATCTCAGTGATCTTGATTTACAGACTCAGGTCAAATTTGAATAGGGCAGGTGTGACAAAAGGTTTAAATGTGACCATTTTCATATTAAGGATTTTAGCAGCAATAGCACAGTTTACATCCTTGTATGTTGTAAATCCTAATCAGATAATTTTTAACATTTTATTTTTGGGATTTATTTTACTAATGCATCAATAAATAATGGGTTTTCTACACTATTGAACAATTCGTAAGCTTTGTTAGTTTTTTCGCAAAAGAATTTATTGAGAAGAAAGGTTTCTGCGATATAGTAAACATAAAAAGTGGTCGTGTTTCTAACTCTTTCAAATGTAATAGTATTTTTGCTGATATCTTTATTATTTAGCATGTTTTCAGATACGTCAAAGGCCTGGTCTTCGTCTATAGTATTGTTATTACCAGGGGTCATCGTTTTACCATCCTTTGGTTTTTGGATAGGCAAAAGGCTGGTAGTAGAGGTTTCTTGTATATTATTTTCTCTAGGAAACTAGGTAGTTTTGGCATATTCAAAGTTTTTAGCTTCAGCAAGAATTGCTTTTACTTGTTGATCTATGCTTATATCACCAGCTGATAAAATATTGGTGGTGATTATAACTTTTGAAGATCCAGCTAGAGTTTCAACCATTTAGTCAAGCCTGCCAGTCATAGTTTTTTTCTGTGGAGGTTCTTCTTTATTTTTTGTTGGTGAGTTAGAGCGGTTTCACAAATTGTGGTTATTTTTTTGTGAAAAATTTTGATTTTTTTCCTTTTCCATTTTTTTGTAGTTTTGAAAAGAGAATTAGTTGTGTAACTAATTAACTAATGAGTAATAAGTCAGATCAATCTGTACGACATTCGACTTCTCATATATACCCCCATAACCCAAAAAAATTTCTTTCTTGGATTAAGCAATTTGTAATACTAAAATGAAAGCACTAATTACTCTTAAAATGGAAATTAATCGTCTTGGTTTCACTCTAAATGAGCAAGACAGTTTGCGTAAATACTTCACTCAAAACGTAGAATAAATAAATATTGTCGTAACTTTTCTTCCTGACTACACAACGGATGATGAGAAGTGGGGTTACTTGAAGTCTTTAATATTTACGCCTGGTATGTTTTAACCTTGTGTATGCTATCATATTCGCCAATAATACCGAATACTTACTTAATCTTGTGCTTTTTTTTCCTGCTTCTTATCGTCAAACCCGCCTAAAAAATACGTTCGCATTATCGTAGAAGATAAGTACTACGACTGCATTCGAATATACTAAACCTACATCACTTTTTTCGCTGTGAGGTTAGATCTGTCTTCAATATAACTTATACCAAAAGTTTTCCTTGTAGTAGGCACTTCAAAATCACCCATCAGTCTTGTGTTCATTTTTGTAGACAACTCACTTATTTATCGAAGAAAAGTTTACTGTAGGTCAATTAGAATCCGCAGGCATCTTTGATCAACAAAGAAATTTCCACTACCTCAACCAGCTCCATATCGACCATGGTCGTCTTCTATCAGCAGTATTGAATGAATGACAAATGGGTAGCAATCTGATTATTGTTAGCTTCCGTCTACTACTGAACGATTCACTATGGGATTAGATTGTAAGTCAAGGTTATGATGTAGTCGTGTTTGATCGAAATATAGAAAATAAAGAAAAGAAAGTTGATATGGAATTAGGTGTTTCTGCAATGGATGTTATCTGGACTAGTGATCCCGATATATTTGTTTTAATTTTTGAAGATGGTGATTATTTTCTTGTAGTAAAACGGGCTCTGCATCATAATTGAAAGGTTGAAATATGATTTTGGTGATCAGGTATAAAATACTGCTTTGTTTGTATTTGTAGTCAAATAAGTTATCTAAGTGAACTCCTACTAATATAGGAGTATCCGGTGATCTCACGGAATGTTCCTCCTCGTTCTATCCTTTGAATAATTACTATAAATACTTTACATATGCATATGGACAAGACCCCGTTAGGAAAAATCATATCCTTGAAATAACTGATGGTGAAACAGTTGGAAATTGGAAGGGTGAAGAAGTAATGGATTATTTTTTTTCATTACAATTGTTTGGGTAGTGGTACAGAAAAGAAAGGCAGAATATATACTTGTATTTCGATAACAAATCGAATTTGAAAAAGGTGAAAAATTGGATGGAGTCTAAACATTCTGATATAAAGGTTTGGAAATGCCAGAAATAAAAAGAAGTTGGGCAGTTGAGTAGATTTATGATCTTTACATTCACCAGTGTAATACATAATACTAAAAAAAATCTGGAATTTTATTTACGTATTCTAAAATCAGCCGAAAATACTTATTCTATATAAATTTTTTATAAATCAAAATTTTACAACTATATTTTTTACGAGACAAGAGCTTGATGTAAATAAAAGACCCTCAGGTTAATTTTATACTTAATTGGCATTGATATTATTTTTATTTCACATGTATTGGAATCAGTGCTGAGCCTTTCAGCCGAAATATTCAGGGCTCAATTTATTCAATACTAATCGTTGTAGGTTTAATCAAGGATGAGTATAAGGGAATAAATTCCCTAATCTTTATTGTTACCGTTATATAATTAAGTTTTAATGATTGTTTCTCTTTATAGAGCCTATAACTCGAATATTATAAAGTCACCTTATATGATTGCTAAAATTCTGAATTCAATTATTGGACTATAGGAGTAATATATTATTCACTTTCTTAAGAAAACCTATTATTTTTACTTATAATTATTTATTATAAAGATACATTAAATTATAGTTTAAGGTAGAATATATAATAGAAGTGAATATAAATTTTTATAAAGCAAGTTTATCTTAAGAAATTTTTATTAAATTATCATAAAAATTTTAAATAAAAATGGTAGTTTTATAAAATAATTTATAATAAAAATATAATAAAAATAATACTATTATTAGTTTTATGTATATTTAATAATTAGTAATATTAAATTAAAATTTTAAATTTTACTTTATTATAAAATAATATTATATTAGGAATTTATAAGTATAATTAGAAGAGTTATAAAAAAAATATATGCTTATTTTTGTTTTATTACTTTAATTTATTTTATATTTATATTTAGTTATTTTTTTTATAAATTTTTAATTGTAATTTTATTTAATAAAAAAATTTTTTTTATATGAAATGATTAAAGATTTAAAAAACCAAATTTATTTATATTAACAGATTTAAATACAAGAACAAAAAGTTTTTGATTTTTTTTTGTCAAAGATAAATGATACAAACTTTAAGATAATAAAAAATAAAAGGAACAAATATTATTTTTTTTTTATTAATATACATTTTTTTTTTCAGCAAATAATTAAATAATTCTCTTCAAATATATACATTATATAATATTGGGAAGGATGTATACAGACAAACATTAAAATAATATAAAACTAGTTTTTTAATAAAACATTATTTTCAATACATTAAGGTCAAAAGTCGTCCGGGACTTGCAGATTAATTTGACTGGAATCTGAACAAAATAAGAGGTGTAAGCATATGACCGAGGTCAATGAAATATGATGAAAATAACAAATCATTTGCCTACCTTGATTCCTATTCGCAATTTTTAGTTGGTTTACAGATTTAGTAAAACTCAAATTACGGCTCGTGTAAATTGCATCGGTGTGGTAAATCTGATGTGAACCTTGAGGAAGGAGATCCTTTTTACGTTCATCCGCTACTCGATATTCCGGTGGAACGCTTTTGGAAACGTAACGATTAGAAAAAAAATTACGAAGTTCCCACGCACCCGGACGATTGTCAGGATCAGCGTCAAGGCAACGTTTCGCCAGTTGATAATATTCTTTAGGAGTGTCGTCAAGAATTTTAGGTTGAGTTCCATTGAGGATATCAATTAACAATGACACATCGTGAGCGCGATCACAGAATGCTGACTGTCCCGTTGTCATTTCGCACATTATAACACCGAAAGCGTAAATATCGGATGCAAGGGTATGCGTCCCACCTTTTAAAACCTCTGGAGCAATGTAAGGTAGTACACCAAAGACATCACCCTCTTCCACATTATCCGCAGTAGAGCGACAGAGACCGAAGTCCGTTATTTCCCCCCTTCCATTGCCATCTTTGTCGATCATCACAAGTATATTTCCACCATGTAAATCTCTGTGAACCATATTCCGACTATGAATATGGGAGAGTCGAAACGCGATACTGTAAAGCAATTGGAGTTTAAATTCCCAATCTGCTACGTGAAAGTTTTTATTGAGAAAGGAACGCAAGTTACCATTCTCAACAAATGGCATAACGATCAAATATTCTTTTGTATCGGGATCTTGGGAAAGGCCATACATTGGGAACGAATTACTCATGAAAGAAGTATTATGCACCTCATAATGAGAACGTACCTTATAATTAAAAAAGGGATGGTTACACTTTATTAAAAGTAGAATTGTGAAATCTATTTCTATTCTCACTTACTTCTTCAATAAATATTTGATGAGATTCCGTTCCGCTGTTTAGACATTTTAATGCCACCTTGCAGGGTTGTCGCGCCCTTGTTGATTGATCCCAGTACCTTTTCCCATCAATCCATTCCGCAGAATAGACGGTCCCATATCCTCCTTGTCCAACTTTTTGTTTATCACGGATGCGATCAAAAGGGATCCATTCCAAGAAATTGTCGTCATAGTTTCCCTGTCGATTTTGTGTCATTTTAATAAGTTCGTCGATTGCTTCATCACCACTCGTCCATTCGCCAAACACCTTTGAAAAGTCGCACTTCTTGCACCAAGGTCTCGTTGCATCTCCGTACCTTTTCAGACAATTAGGACACTGTTTTGGGAACTGATTTGTCGACATTATGTCGTCGTTTCACAAACGAGAGTAATTGGTGACTAGCTTGCGTAGTAAATATATTAACTTAAGCTTAATGACAAGTTATTAGACTCTAAGAATTTGCTGAAGAAAGGTTCGTTTAGGATGGGAGTTTACTTCTACGTTTTCTTGTTTGCCGTGTTTCACTCATTTTTTTAACAAAAGGAATATCGGGTCCTGAAACAAAACTTTAATAATTCCGGTGCATCCCTATCCAATAAAGGTTGTGACACAATTCAAATATTATCATATGACGACAAACGTTTGACACTCAAAAAATGCTTGTAAACCGATATTGTGCAAGAACTTTATTGTCCTGTTCCTTAGTTTTGACTCAACTACCTCGGTTATTCACGACTACTTCTGCCTTAAATATGTCTCAGCAAGACTCAGTTACAGCTCGTGTCGTCTTTGTCACATGCCCGGACGAGGCTGTGGCAAAAAGATTATCAAGAGGTTTGCTTTCACTATATATATATATATATATATATTTTTTAATAAAAATTAATCGTCGTGTGATATTTATAATGAAAAGGGTTGGTCGAAGACCAACTCGCGGCTTGTGTAAATGTTATCCATGGGGTAACATCACTTTATTGTAAGTTGACAGGAATTCCTTTTTAGAATGCATTAACTCTTCAAAAGTCTAAAATTTTTACATTAACAGGGTGGGATGGAAAAATTGAAGAGACCACGGAACAAATGCTAGTAATCAAAACAGAAGAAAAACATGTTCGTGAACTTACAGATTATGTCAACAGCAAACATGGCTATGAGGTCCCAGAGGTCATTTCAATCAAGGTAAGCGCAATTTTCGGTTTAATAAATTTTTGATTTTGGAAATTACTTAATATAACATCCCTTCCGATGTACAGATCGATAAAGGTAGTGCCAGATACCTTGATTGGATCAAGGATAGTGTGAAACCTTAAAACCATTTTATATTTTAAATATTTAAGTAAACGGAACTCTTATATTAAAGTTTTATCTATTTTTTCTATGAATAAATAAATTTAAAACGTCTGTCCATTTAAGGACCGCTTGGATCAGGCATATTTATAATGAAATTTTTTTTTTTTACGTGTTAAGTGAACGTCGCGTGTGTCACGAGAAAATGATGATCTCATTGCCCAAAGCTGTTATCAAAATTCTGGCCAGTTTTAGATTTAAATAAATGCATGGTAAAATTACAACATTTCAGAAATTTTTATTACTGATGACAGCTTTTTAAATCTTTTATTTACGCTTTCATTTTCTAAGAAACTTTTAAAACTAGTTGGTAAGTAATTTCTAGAAGAATTTGATAGCCATTAAATTGTTTTAGTTTGGTCACACGTTTTCTGTGTGTAGAATGTAAAGAATATCGAAATTTAATCTATCATGTGATATAACACTTTTATCAATTTAAAAAACGCGACCTTCTTGCTTTTTTATATGCAAAGGTTTTTTCAACATTAAAAGTCGAATTTTATTAAAAATAAATCATCAAAATAATTGACATTTAATTTGATTATACTTATATTTAATTAGCTTCCGTATATATAACGCGTGATATAAGAATATGCCTCCAAAAACTAAACCGCGTCCTTCCGACGAAACAGAACCTGCTTCAAAAAAACAACGGAAAAGTTCGTCACCTGAGCCACCGTCTAGTGTTTTAACACAGCAACAAGAGGAGGAAATGTCTTCTGCGTATATTGCACAATTATTGGCTCAAGAAGGATATGATGAACATCCTTATTACTCACAATATCATAGTACGACATATGATCCCTTTTATGAAAATGATGATAAAGACGATGATGATGATTATAACCCATCTTCTAGACCTAAATCTAAGAAAGCAGGTTTGTGTGATACATATTTATGTCTTCTTGTTATAAATTAAGTGTGGTAGATTTTTTTTTTTATATAAAAAATTATAATATGTACTTTAACGTGACGCGTCAATAATTTTGGAAATCTATATTGAATACTAAAATCAACTTCTCACGTAAATCTTAAAGGAACAAAAGGCCGTAAACGTAAAGGTGATACTTACAAAAAAACTCCTCAACAACAAAATAATGATGATCTGCTTGATCATCCTAACAACGGTTCCGTGGCTATCAATGATTCTGTACATCCTTACACGTCAGAAATTATACCAAGCAAGGAGAAAGATGGGGAAGGGAATAATGATTTCCAAGAAACTGAAATAAACGGTGAAATAAAACATTTGACACCAGTCAAAAAACAGAAAAAAACTCCAAAGACAATATTACCTGGAATGAATATAGGTGCATACTCTGATAATGAAGAAACTTTATTCTTGTCTGGATTGGAACTTTATGGACGCGATTGGAAGAAAGTAATATATCAAATTTTATTATTTTTCTTTTTCTTTGCCTTCCATAAGTTTTTAAAAACTCTTTTCTTTTTTTTTTTTAAAAAAAAAAAAAAAGCTGGCCGAGCACATAGGAACAAGGGACACTAATTCGATACGAAGTCATGCTCAGAAACACTTTATCAAATTATTCAGAGATGGAATTCCCCTGCCACTAAAGGTGAAGAAATAACTCGGAAATGCTTAGAGTACATGGAAAATATAAAGACTATTTTTATAAATTACCGTATGTTCCGGATTTATAAATTCCTACTATTTATTTAGGTACAAGATTCTGGCAAGGGTTATACCTTGTCAGGTAAAGAGTTAGACCCTAACTCTGCTGCAGCAAGACCTTATCTTATGAGGAACCCGCCTCAAGAAAATCGAGAAACTGTAAATAAAATTGAAAATATATCTGATACATCACCATTCAAGACATCTAATTATAAATTAGATGATACCTTGCAAAGTGATATATTGGATAATATTAGCCAATTGGGTTCTCAACCTTTTAATGATGAGGAAAAGGAAAAAAGTTGTTTCATTGGTCAAGAAGAGCAATCAAAAATTAATGGGAGTGATCAAGTGGAAGAATATAAATCAACGCAAGCAGATGAAAATCATCAGATTGTAACGACTGAAGAAAAACGTAATCGCGGTCGTCCGTAAGTACGGAAAGTAATATAAGTCTATTTTAGAAATAATTTAACTTTAACCTTTTTTTTATTCTTATTTTTTTTTTTTACTTTTTGAAAATTTAGTCGCACCTCACCAAAGATCGCACAAGATACTACGAAAGACAATTTTAGCCAACTGTATGGTGCTGATGGCCGTACGGAATATGCGAAAGCGAGATTACGTGGAGATAGAAAACAACTTTCGAGCGCACATGAAGAAAATGCGTAAGAATTTACTGTTTAATTATAATTTTCCATTGTTTATAAAATGAAAGTTAGGATTAACAATCAATATTTTAGAGATCCACTGACGATGATAAAGTGCGACCCATTTTTTGGCGCACCTAATTCAAATATTGCCGGAAGTCAACCGTTTTCAATGATTGTTGAATCAAATGTGCTCGTTGCAATGGATTTTCATGCACATCTTATGAACACCGAAGTCATAGGATTTCTAGCCGGATATTGGATACCCGAGAAAAAGGGTAAGCCGAGAACCTTACTTTAATCTTAATAGACTGAAATTTTTAATATCAATTTATAAATATTCGAAAGAGTTGATAGTCAAAGCCACGTTTCCTTGTCGTTCGCTTCAAACCGGGGAAAATTATGTCAATGTTGAAATGGATCCGACTTCCGCACTAGAAGTTCAACAAACCATTACCGATCGAGATATGCAGGTTGTTGGATGGTATCATTCTCACCCGATTTTTCAACCTGATCCTTCAATAGTAGATTTGGAAAATCAAAATAATTATCAAAAATTGTTCCGAGATGAAAAATTTAATGAAGAACCTTTTGTTGGAGCCATCGTTGGTAAGAATTTTTTTTTTTTTTTTTTTATGATAAATAAATCCAAATGATATAACTATTTAATCTTCTTTATGTTTAAGGTCCTTATGACCCAAAATTACCCGGTTCTCTGTCAGTTATCAATTGGTTTTATGTTAGCAATTCAGTCAAATCAGTGGATGAAATGGGACAAGCAAAGCAGTTGGCTTTTGAATTAGTCAATAATTCCGCAATTTCGAATGAAGTCGCTGACGAAATTGTAAGTAAAAAATATACAGATATATATATATATATATATTTTTCATTATTTTATTAATCTATCGAATTATTCTTAGCTCGACCTTGTTGAACAATATCGTTCATCTAATGATCGTGTGGATTTTAAAGAATATTGGCGTAAAGATACTAAAGAGACTAAATTGGAAAAACTTATCAAGTCATTGGCAAAACGTATGCCATGGTTAAATGTATCAGGTAATTGTGATAATGATGACGAACAACTTATTGAAGAAACAAACTACGAGATGGATGTGGATTCATTAAAGGTTAATGAAACATTATGTGAAATAACATCTAAGCAAGTTACAGGCGATCATTTTCTGGAGAGGGTAAAGAAGCTTTTGAAGGCATGGTGATTATATGGTTATATGCTTTACTTTATTTGTATTGTGGGAAAGTTGGAATTTGTGTTTATTTGTAATAAATTGGAAATTAATATTTTAACAAAGCTAATCTCCAAAATTCATCTAATAAAGTAAAAACATAATGAGAATAAGATAGCCAACATCAAAAGAAGCCTTGACACAAAGGCTTGTTGTGGTGAAGGGGGTCCATTGGGAGGAGGAAAGGTCTAGGAGGAAAGGGAAAGGTTAATTCTTATCATGCATTGTTTAATGTGCATAAAAGTAGTAATGTAATTACTTACAAACTGTGCTCCAAATAACGATGGAAATATTGCACTGGCAGAAATTGAAAAATGTGGACCAAATGCATTGGAATGAAACGACGAAACAGGAAAAAATTGTGCACCTGGTTGATTCGGATCTCTTTGTGGTTGAGGTCTTTGACCTGCCGGACGATTTGGGATATCCGAATTTTGCCTGAAAAATCATAATATTAAGTCAATCAGTTTTTCATGTTTTAAAGATGAAAAATCTAATTTAATCATACCTTGGATCTTTGGCCTCTTTCCCTCTTCCGTATATTGGTATCACTTTATCTTGTCCACATCCTGCCTTGCATACAGGACATAATGGATTTTGGTACTGTGCTTCTAACCACTATCATATTAAAATTAATCAGTTTAATATTTAAACTTTTTTAAAAAAAATTTATTTAAAAATTTTAGAACTAACTTGATGTAGGCATGGCCAACTGAAAAAAAAAAAACGATTCATCAATACCTTCGAATATATGATTTAGTAACATAAATTGTTAAGAGCTCATACTAACCAAAATAAATGTCCACACAAAGTTAGAACAGGTGAAGATGCCGTATCAAAACTATTGAAAAGAAATTTTGAGTAAAATTATTTCTAATTAAGGAAAAGTAATTGGTTGAACTAACATACCATATGTTACATTCGTATTCAGAGTTACTATTGTTTGTGTGGATGTCATTAGTTTTACTCTGTGAACTTCTGACGGCACGACTACTCCCTTCACCTGCAGAGGACGAAGTCGTTGAAGGTAAACCAGTTACAAAATTCGCTGATTTTGACGATTTAGTAGACATTTGTAAAGTTGATCCACCTCGATTTCTTAATACGGGTACATTATTCTCTGTTAATTCATTGGTAAAAGGTTCTTCAGGATATTGTGCTTGATCAATTTCAGTCATTTCAAGAATCCCATTCCCGTTCACCTCACGATTTAAATCGCGTACAGGTTCAGAAGTCTCATTAGCTATTTCTTGTTCCAAGAGATCAATGCCCATTCAAAATATCAACCCTAAAATATTGTTTTGATTTTAATTCGAAAAGCGAAAGAATTAATCGTTTCTATTTGAAAATTTAATTTCTGCTAATTTAATTAACAAGGAAGCGCAATAATATCACAACATTTTGTGATAAAATGCTCATATTATCACTTCAATATTTAACTTTATATACGCATAATCTGCAATAACAAGTCACGGGTCTAAATAATTTAATTAAACAATTAACAAAACCCATTTATAAAATCTTAGTTATTAATATTGTTAATTAAGCAATCTTGTGATAAAAAAAATGTATAATTAAAACTTTATAATTGAATATTTTTTTTTTATTTAATGTTTCTTTTTAGTTATTTTAGTTATTTTAAGGTTTATATTTCAATAATTCTTTTTTTTTCAAAAATAATAGTAAAAAAAAAAGAAAGATAAGTTAAAGGATTAAACAAGTTAATATTATGTCAAAATATTTCTATGATAGAAAAAATTAATTATATATATTTTATTACACGATATTTATTTTTCTTATAAATTTATTATTTGATTTTTTCATTTCACCTTTATTTTCTTTTTCAATAGTTATTTTCCCTAAGATTATCTTGCAGCCAAATTTAGCTACAAACTTTAATTTTTAATAAATAATTTTAATGATCTACAAAATTAGATCCCTGTTTTCATTTTTCAAAGAATTTTAGTTAAATCGGCGAGGCGTACAACGATTTCTAACTTATCTACGCCACGGTTATAACTTATTCTTTAATCGTTTCAGTCGTAACCGTTTATATTTGTCTTTTACTTAGATATAACGGTGGAACGACTATACCACGTAAAACACTATGTGGTCAAAACTCGTCGGCCAGTTAAAGATTGCCAATCCACAACCGCTTTCAGCAATTTTTGGTACATCAACAGTTACATCTCCACCTCCGGTATTTAAGTCGCCCGAAAAACCGTCTGTACGAAGAAGAGCATCTAGCGTAAGCTCAGCTAAACATCGTAAAAGTGTAATTTTCGGACATAACTTAGAACATGAGGCGATAGAAAAATCTAAACTTAATACACGAAAAACGTGAGTTGAGAATTTTAAAAGTTAGATCTCGCGATATTACAGGTCGAATGGTAAAATGAGACAGCGCACGATTCTGTTGTGGATGATAATTTTCTTTTATAAAATACATTGTATTATAGATTGCGCGTCATTTTACTATTCGACCCAAGTTCTTGATTTTGCATTTGGTTAGCCTTTTCAAAAACGCGTAAGTTTTTCTTATAATTCGGTTTGATGGTGCGTTAGAATCCCCCCCGAACAGCAAAATGATCTACGTTTACTCTTTCAGCAATGGGAAAACTCTAGTGACGAAAAGGTATTATAATTATTATCGTTAAAAAATATATCGTAACAAATACGATAGAAGTCAAGTTTAAGTCCTAATTTTTTTTTTTTTTGTTGATTAGGAACAAAACGTATTATTGATATTAACCTCACGCAAATTTTGTGATATATTTGTCGAAGCTCCTGACTTACTTCAAGAGAGGTGATTATAAAAGTGATTATGTAACACGATGAATCAAATCACAAATATTAACGCGTTTATTTTAAATAGTTTTGAAGACCTTTGTTCCTTTACCAATGCTATATCAAAATATTTGGTTTTTCACATTCGTAATGCACTTCCGGCGGAGAAAGATTTTAAGGCTAGTCAAAGTAATATGACATTTATTTGTCTGATTTAGTCGCGTAACAAATATTTAGATGTTAATGAGATTACTTTTTGTAAATAGACCTTTTACAGATTTTGTCTGATGAAAATCAATTATTTCTATTATTAAAAGCGGTTGATATATTGTGTTTTGGACCTGTATGTATTAATTTACAAGTATTGAATTTTATACGTTTATTAGATTTGTGCGATTATATTAAAGGCTATATTTCCACTATACATATATTATTTATTTATAATATAGAAATTAATGAAAAATATTGAGAACTCAATTCTGTCTGTCGTTACTTAATTTTAGGAATTGGTATATGAGATTATGTCCGTAAACGAACTTCCTTCAGTCTTGATCCATACTTTACAATGTTTCATAGAAAATGACTCGCAAGAATTATTGCCTAAATCTAAAGAGGAAAGCGAATCACCATCGACGGATACACCAGTGTTTGCTTCTTTAAGTTTAGTATCTGATATCATGACGGATATTCTTTATTATTTTATAACAAAACCGATAATTTTGAATCAATTGATTGAACAAGATTTATTGTTCTTATTGGTTACAATGACCATAAGTGGGGGAAAAACCATGCATAATGATGATGAACAGTCCATTATTTGGGAGGATAGGTAATTAATGGATATTTTTTCATTACTTAAAGTTATTTCCATTCCATTGCTAATTTATTATTTCATTTTAGAGCACTTGAGATTTTTGCTGGTTTATTTGATTCTAATATTATAAGTGAAGGATGTTTAAATTATTTTAAGAGTAAAAAAATTTTAGATGCACTTATGAAAGTGTTGACGGATAATATTGATTATGAAGGAAATAGATTTATTAATAGTCCACAATTAATATATGCCGGTTCATTGCTTGTCGACTTAATACAGGTTAGTCAACTGATGGCGATCGATTATGAAATTTATTTACTAACTTTTCCGTTTACACAAATTTAAATAGGGTACATATAAAAATACCTCCATGTTTTTGGAAGAATTTTATAATTGTAAGGGATATGAAATCTTTTTCAAACTACTCATCTTACCACCATTTGATGAAACGATCACTAAGGTAATTTATGATTCAATCTTTTATTTCAATGAATTATTTAAAAATCGTTAAAGCATTTTTCCATTAATTTTAGGACACGTTAATAACGCTGGCTGAGGATCTCGTATTCTTCGGAAAGGATGCTTTGAAATCTATCGAATCAAATGTATCACCATATCAACATAGCGGTAATATTAAATTCAACGAATTTTATTAGATTAAAATTTAATCTAATTAAATTTCTTTAACCTTTTCTTTTTAGACTTTAAATTACCTCCAGAATCTAAGGAAGATGGTAAGTTATTTATAATCTTTTTATGTTTTATATTATTAAATTTTACAAAAATTATTATTCTTTTTTTTAGAATCGCTATTTCGTAATGAGAATGCATTTCAAGTCCTAGTATCCGCTCTTTTATATCCGGAGTCTACATCAAATTTTCATTTTGACTCACTAAATTTCAATTCAGATATAATTCCCGATATTTTTCGTCAAAAAATAGTTGTTGCTATCGCCGAAGTTTTCAAATCAAATTATTTAAATTATTTTTTGACAGAGTCCTTAAATGTCTTGCCAACTTTAATCGAGCATTTGGACAAATTTAGTTCAAAAGTTCAGGTTAGAAATAAAAATATAATTTGAAATATATTTCTCTTCCTCACAATTAACATTCAAATGAATTTCATAGAGATCAATTTTGGATTTATTGGTTTTTGTCATGGTCGATTTAAATTATGTGCCATTCAAGGAATTGGTCATGTTATCTTTACATTTTCAAGGCATGTACTTATCATATCAATTATATGTAATTTTACAAACATACAATTAGTTTTAATATAAGATTTCTAATTAATAAAGGCCAATCCTTGAAGCATACGACAGCTATTGTATGTGAAACAGTTATTGCACTTTTACAAACTTCTTCAAAATTTAAGGATGTTTTTCGCGAAATTGGATTATTAAATATGTTATGTAGCCTTCTTCAGGAATTGGCAACTACATTACAGAACAGTTTTGGAAACACACATTTTGTTAAAAGAATATCTATCTCACAATTATCAGATGTGTTAGATCAACAAAATAAAGATATATACAGAACAAAAAGTCGGTTTGGTCCTGAAGTAATTGAAAATTTTCAATTAATAGCGGAATGTCTGATTGAATTATTGAAGGCTAACAAACCGAATATTATCTTGTTTGGAGGAACGTAAGTAATATTATTAAATGATTAACATCTTTCTTTTGAGAAAATTATTTTTTTTTATTGAATACACTTTATTTCAACGGGTCTTTTATAGATACAAAGGAAATTTATTTGATTTGTTACATTATGATGAAACTCGCGATGGCGCATTAGCTATCTTTGAAACCTTAGTTGTAGAAAGTTATGTATTATCTAATATTGAGCCCCACACTCAAAAATCAGCGAAAACTATTTCTTTAACTTCGACTGTAGAACATTCATTTCAATTTGGGAGATTAGTCGAAATCGTACAGTCCCTTTCTAGATTTGATCTCAAAATGAAAAAGCATATTCTTTGGTCTATGAGGCGAATATTAGTAGCATGCCCTGAAATGAAGGATGTTTTTCGTGATACAGGGGGTTTCGTATGCCTCATAAGTTTATTAGTAGGGTTGGAGGATGTATATAATCTATGGGTTGAAAATAGCGAGATTAAAGATAATTCTCAGGTTGATGATGAGATTAAAATATCAAGAAAAAGTAGACAATCGTTCGAAATTGATGAACCTCCCACGAAGGATCAAGCAGTCGAAACCCTAAAAGCTATTTTTTTTCTTTTTGCCGAAGCGCTTTCAGGTCATGATTCAAATCAACGATTTTTTAGCACTTCCATTGGGTTCAAGGCTATGGAGGATGCAATCATTCTTACACGCATTCTTGAACCTAATGGTTCCGCTGAAAAATTTTTTGGAATACTTTTTGGATTTGCCATTGAAAATGAAGCCATTGCTGATGTATTCGTTGAACCGACTTATGATGGAGTCGAAAAATCTAAAGAAGAAAATTTTCCAAACAGAATTGTTAAGATGTTTGGCAATATGACAGATGAAATTAGAAATCCTAACGTCATTCCTACTATATTAAATCTGCAATCATATGTGCGCTATGATGAAAAGTTAAATTCAAATATTTATGAAGCATTACTTGCTCTTGCTCTTGCCAATCGTAGAAATCAAGTAATGTTAAATAAATCTGGTGTGTTAGAAATTG